ACTGTCTCCCTTATTTAAGAAAATTAATCATTGCTAATTCCCCTAATAAATAAATGGTGAAGGCATTCTCCTTGTAAAATAATTTCAAATCACAGGATCAATTTCAAATCCCTTTACTACCATTTCTAATTTCACTCCCATCTGTACGACCACTGTAACGAGGTCGCTGTATATCTTGCCAGACCTTTTACCTAAACGTATACATATATTTATACATGCCTCTAGAAGTATATACAAAAACTATTGTGTTTTTCTTTTTCTTTTTTTGACATAAATAATATATACCATAGTGTCTTTTTGCAATTTATTTTTCACACAACATTATATCTTCTCAGGTCATATAGATGTATCTCATTCTTTAAACCTATATTCCATAAGTATTTTATGATTTATTTAGTCATTCTATTAAAATTATTTTTAATTTTTATTTGATACAATTCTGCAGTGAAGACCTTTGCACATGCCTTCTTGTGCATCTCTGCAACAAATTCTTTTTTTTTTTAATTAACTTTTTGAAGAGTGTTTACTCTAGATAGGGGTTATTTTGCTGGAGAATTTTTTTTTTAATACTTTAAGTTCTGGGTTACATGTGTAGCTTGTGCAGGATTGTTTCATAGGCATACACATGCCATGGTGGTTTTCTGCATCCACCCCCCAGTTATCTACATTAGGTATTTCTCCTAATGTTATCCTTCCCCAATCCCCCCACCCCCTGCTATCCCTCCCCTATCTCCTCTGCTCCTCAACAGGCCACGGTGTATGATGTTCCCCTCCCTGTGTTCATGTGTTCACATTGTTCAACACCCACTTACGAGTGAGAACATGCAGTGTTTGGTTTTCTGTTCTTATGTCAGTTTGCTGAGAATGATGGTTTCCAGCTTCATCCATGTTCCTGTACAGGGCATGAACTCATCCTTTTTTATGGCTGCATTGTATTCCATGGTGTCTATATGCCACATTTTGTTTATCCAGTCTATCCTTGATGAGCATTTGGGTTGGTTCCAGGTCTTTGCTATTGTAGACGGTGCTGCAGTGAACATACATGTGCATGTTTCTTTATAATAGAACAACTTATAATCTCTTGGGGATATACTCAGTAGTAGGATTGCTGGGTAAAATGGTATTTCTATTTCTAGGTCCTTGAGGAATCACCACAATGTGTTACACAATGGTTGCACGAATTTATACTCCCACCAACAGTGTAAAAAGTGTTCCTATTTCTCCACGTCCTTTCCAGCATCTACTTTCTCTGGATTTTTTAAATGATCACCATTCTAACTGGCATGAGATGGTATCTCAATGTCGTTTTGATTTGCATTTCTCTGATGACCAGTGATGATGAGCTTGCAACAATTTGTTTAAAGTGGATGGAAAGAAGTGGTGGTGATGTTCCTGTGATATATTTATTTTAAAATTTTTAAAACTTCATTTTGGAGTAATTTTAGATATGTAGAAGAGTTGCAAAGATGCTACAGGCTGTGCCTGTGTACCTGTAACCCATTTTCAGTTTCCCCTATGTAAGATGATAATATTATGGCATCTTTGTCAAAACTAAGAAACCAACATTGGTGCATTGCTATTAACTACATTTCAGACTTAATTCACATTTCATCAGGTCTTCCAGTAATGTCTTTTTATAATTCCGGGATCCTATTCATGATACCACATTGCATTAATTTGTCGTATCTCTTTTGTCTCCTCTAGCCCATGATAGTCTTTTCTTGTTTTTCATAACCTTGACAGGTTTGAGGAGTATTGTTTAGGCATTTTGTAGTATGCCCCTTCATGCCTAATGTTTTTCTCATGATTAGACTGGGTGGCGGGTTTGGAGAAAATAGCATCACATTATATCAGGGTATCCACATGCCGTCACTGGCAATGTTAGCCTTGATAACTTAGCCAAGGTAGTGTTGGTCAGGCGTTTCTACTAAGCTGCTCTTTTTTTCTTCCCATGCTGGATTCTTTGGAATTGAGTCACTAAATCTAGCCCACACTCAAAGGGGTAGGAGTGATAAGCACTATTTCCTGGAGGAAGGTATTGTCTTTTATTTGGAATTTTTCTGTAAGAAATATTTGTTTCTTCTCAATGGTTTGTTCATTCAATTATATCTTAAGGACTTGTGTATATTTATTTTATAGTTTGGGTTGTAATCCAGTACTATGCTATTTTGTTATTTATTTATTTGTTTATTTTGTTGCTCAAATTGTTCCAGCTTTGGCCATTGGGAGCTCTTTTGGGCTGACTCCCATGTCCCTTTGTCTAACCCCAAACTTTTAATTTTTGAGTACCTCCTTGCTTCCTGATCTCACAAAATACTCCAGACTCACCTTATATTTTCCCTGCCCCAGCCCTAGATCAACCATAAAAGAAGCCCTTGTTCATTTTTATCAGAGGTTGGAAGTACTCCCTACTACTGATGTTTTTTGTTTTTTTGAGATGAGTCTTGCTCTGTGTCCCAGACTGCAGTGCAGCAGCATGATGTCAGCTCACTGAAACCTCCGCCTCCCAGTTCAAGTGATTGTTCTGCCTCAGTCTCCCCAGTAGTTGGGATTGCATGTGCCTTCCACCACACCTGGCTAATTTTTGTATTTTTAGTATAGACGGAGTTTCACCATGTTGGCCAGTCTGGTCTCCAACTCCTGACCTCAAGTTATCCACCTTCCTTGGCCTCCCGAAGTGCTGGGATTACAGGCATGAGCCACCATGCCCAGCACTACCAATACTTTAAAGGTTAAGAGCTACTGTCCAATTGCTCTCTTATGGGCGTTTCTAGTTGACACCTTTATTTTTCTCCTCAGACCTGTTAAAATACTTGATACTATCAGGCTTACTAATTTTGGCCTGATAGAATTGTGTCTTTTTTAAGTGACTGTTTCTCTGATTGCTAGTGTGGTTAAACATCTGTTTATGTTTATTAGACATTTGAGCATCCTTTTCTGTGACTAGCCTGTTCTTGTTCCTTTACCTACTTAAGCTGGTTACTGGGGGCGGTGGAGGGGAGGAGGGAGAGTATGTGTGTCTGTGTGGGTGGTTTGTGTGATCGTTAGTATTAATCCTTTATCTGGTTTTGATGAATAGTCCTTTTTTCACCCTGTAACTTACTTTTAAATTATATAATTTCTTTTGACATACAGAAGTTTTAAATTTTGATACTGTCGCAATTGAAATTGAAGACTTTTGCTTTTGTATAATGTTTAAGGAGATCTTTCTAGCATGCCCACTTATGCTTTTATTGCAAACTGCGGATTCAAAGATCTCAAATGAACACAGTTGTTAAGCAAAATTATTTGCTTTTTCTGAATCCATAGCATTTGGCATTATTCATGGTTTCTTCTTGGAAGTGTTTGCCTTGGCATTCTCCTGATTTTCTTCTGGCCTCTGACCTCTTCCCTTTCTCCTTATTTCTACTTTTTTCTGTAGTTTGCTAGCAGCGTATTCTCTCTGCCTCCTTCTTCCCCTTTGCTAAATTTATCTGCTTTCATAAAGGAAACTCTAATTTCTGTTGAGTAAAAACATTCAAGCCTACATTTCCAGTCCTTTCACTTAAGTTATTTGTTTACTTCTCCCTCTTGTCTCTATGTTGTCCCTGCTGCATATCCCACTAACTTCTCAAATTCAGTATGCCCAAGGCAGAAGAAACTCATTACCATTCCTGGCAAACATATCTTTCCCCTTATTTATGTGTCTACCAATGGCATCATGATTCTCCTGGTCACTGGACTCAAAAGCTAAAGTTGGCCCCACTAAACCTAAAATTGTTTCTTACTTCCCCCACATCCAGTGTGTTATGAAGTCATATTCATTCGGTCTTCAAAAACTCCTTCACATCCATTCTTTCTTTTCTCTTCATCATTATGTCAAGCTAGTTCAGGTTTTTGTCCTCTTCATGTGGTATTTACATGCATCTCTTCAACCTGTCTTACCTCGAATCCACCTAGCCTGGTCATTACATTCATACCCCTGCCTCCGTTTGCCTGCTGTAAATCCTTATCTCCTTGGATTAGGATTAGAGGTCTTCTGTAGCCTGGCTCCAGTTTAACTCCCTACCCCTGCTTTCTCCTGTGCATGTCATACTCTTTGTCATATCCAATCAGAATGGTAAACTGCAACTACTCAAATGTTAATTCATCTGTGCAGGTCATGTACAGTTCATTGTGTTTTCTCAGAGTACTCTCAACCTTCCATTTCAGTTAGGATCTATCTTTTTGGTAATATTTCTGTAAGTAGGGGATTGATATACAAATTAGTGTTTTTGCTTATAAGTATTGCATGGGTAATGTCATTAACAAATATATTAACATTTTTTCTTCTGTTGTCCATGGCTAATAAATTATTTCTTACATCTTTGGGAATTAATTAAAAATTAATATAAATTAATATATGAATACATGGAAGTTTATTTTAGGTTCTATGGATTATTGTTTTACTCCTATTTCCCTAGAATCTGTTATTTCCATTTTTTTCTCCATTCAGCAACTTTAAATAATATCTTTACTGGTGATGTGACTTAACCTTGCTAATTTTATCACAGAGTTTGTTTCTAGATTAATTAAAACAGGGAAATTGACAAACATGTAGTATGTAGCACTGTGAATCTTACATGATCATGTAACTCTTTTTCATGGGAACACTAGGTCCAAAGAATACACTTTCGAGAAATTGTACATATAGAAAGAGATTTCCCTGTTATTAATTGGATGAAAATTGGAAAATAGAAATTTAAGAAAGAAGTTTAGAGAATGTACAGTTAACCCTCTGTCACCGTGGGTTCCACACCCATGGTTTTAGCCTCAGAAAGAAAATATTTCTTGGGGAAAAAAAACCCACAAAATTCCAAAAAGCAAGACTTGGATTTGTAGCCCACTGAGTTATATGTTGAATCCACATGAATGAAGTGATGGGTAGGCATTGTCTTAGGTATCATAAGTAATCTAGAGATTATTTAAAGTATACAGGAGGATTTCCTAGGTTATATCCTAATACTGTCATTTTACATAAGGAACGTGAGCATGACTGGATTTTTGCTATCCGAGGGGAGTCCTGGAACCAATCCCTGTGGATACGAAGGGATGACTGTATATTCACAGAGGTAAACCATTTTCCTTGTCGGCTGATAGGTATCAGCATATGCCAAATACAGCTTGGGTACAGGCCTGCAAGAGGAACAGATTGGAAGAAGACAGTCATATGTTGGTAATTTCTGAGCATGCCTGTCCATCAAAGAAAGAGAATTTGAATTTATTTATACGTTTAAGATTTTATATTTTAAACCACTTGAATAATGAATTATACTTTTTCTGACTCTCTCTCTCTTTCTCTCTCTCTCCATACCCTGTTTCTTTCTCTCTCACAGTAACCTAACAACAGAGATAAGGTAAAAGGTTTATTTATTTGTTTATTCATATATTCAACTAACTGATACTGTATTAGGTGGTAGGTACACATTAGTAAATAAAAACTACGAAACTCTTGCAGTTGTGGAACACATACTCTAATAGTGTGAATTAATGGGACTAATCTGTATCTAGTATTATGGACACCATCACTACTTATCTGAAAAGGACTCAAGTGGCCGAGGTAGTTCTTAATAAAGGACTCAGATAGAAGTAAGCTCTGGAATGGTTTATAATATGAAATACGTCAAATGAACCTGTCCACTATTCTGGATTCTCAGAATTATAGATAGCAGTATACTAGCCCATGAGGAATTACAAGTACTGGATCTGATATTCAAGTATACCCACACAACCAGGGACCGACAGTGCCCATTTCCTACAGAGGAAACAAAAAGGAAGAGTATAACTATGCATTCCAACGCTATCATCTACTAGCTCACAATTCCATTGGGAAATTGAGTTTCTCCTACTTTATACTCCCTTCCCTAAAGGTGCAGATGTCGGCTGGGCGCAGTGGCTCACACCTGTAATCCCAGCACTTTGGGAGGCTGAGGCAGGCAGATTGCCTGAAATTGGGAGTTTGAGACCAGCCTGGTCAGCATGGTGAAACCCTGTCTCTACTAAAAATACAAAAATTAGCCGTGCATGGTAGCAGGCATCTGGAATAACAGCTACTTAGGAAGCTGAGGGAGGAGAATCACTTGAACCCAAGAGACGGAGGTTACAGGGAGCAGAGATTACGCCATTGCACTCCAGCCTGAGCAACAGAGTGAGATTCCATCTCAAAAGAAAAAATTGCAGATGCCTTCACAGGTACAGACTAACTACAAATCCCACTTCTTTACCTTGGAGGCATGACCTATAAATGTTGGAGTGCTTATTATTCCAAGACGTGTTGGAATACTTATACACATTCTCTGTGCATGTTTGTGCTGGAATCTATTAAAAGAAAATGTAATAAAAACTTTAAACTTATCTTTTTTTTTTTTACATGAAGATCTTAATTTTTTAAAATTTATGTTCTAGGGACTTTTAACAGGTGACACTAAGTAATGCTAATATGACTTGCGCATTTAATTCTCTATGACCTTATTGATTATGGCTGGCAGCTCTACCACCTGAGGCTATGTCTTTGGCAGATTTATATATACACAGAGCTTGGGTGAAAAACCTTAAGGGAAAAATCCAAAAGTTGGGAATTCAGGAAATGCTCAGAAGATGGTTCTTTTTTCAGTAAAGAAAGTAAATCTTAACTGTTACGGGATTGCTATGCTTATTTTGTTGTTTTTTTTTTTTAATTTTCAAAATGTTAAATTTCTTTACAAAATTTATCCATTTTTACCTTCTTATGTAAGATCTTCCTTAGCCAGAATTTGGGGGAGGAGGATTTACTCTTAAGCTGTTGGAGCATAGTTTGGGAATTGTCATCTATTCTTCATTTTACAGTTTAATTCATTTATGAGGGTTAAAGATTCTATTTAGATACTTCCAAAGATTGTTTGCTACCATATTCACAAAATTATTATGAAAAACTACTTGACCCTTACCTAATTCAGTATAGTAATGAGTCAGTGCTGGGTATTTTTGTGATAATTATGGTGCTAGAAACAGTGAGGGATTCCAGGCAGAATAAACATAATACCACCTTCTTAGTTTTGGGTTCCTGGGAGGTATTGGTGGTTGTAAAATGGGGTTTTAAAAATTCTTTCATGTTCCTTTCTTTAAGAGGTGGAGCTTAATTTCCCTCTCTTTTGAGTGTGTACTGACTTACTGACTCACTTCTCAGGGATAGAACAAAGATGATATGACAGTTTTAATTCTGGGAATAGGTCATAAAAGGCACAGTGGATTTCCCCCTGCTCTGTCTTGAGCACTCCTTCTGTGGGAATCCAGCTGCCAGCATGAAGACACCAGGGCCTATGGAGAGCCCGCATGATAAGGAACTGAGGCCTCCTGCCAGTAGCCCTGTGAATATACCATCTCGGAAGCAGTAACCCTAGTCCCCATCTGGCCTGTGGATGACTATAGCACCTGTTGGCATTTTGACTGTGTAAAACAAAAAGTATCTGAGATGGTTCTCAATCAATTTAGAAGTTTATTTTGCCAACATTAAAGATGTGCCTGGAAAAAAGGACCCCAAATTCACATGAACAATCTGTGATTCATGCCTTTTTCCAAAGATGATTTTGAGGGTTTCAGTATTTATATAAAGGGGGAAAGTGGCTGGAGGGGAAAGAGGGAGAGTATGGTCACATTACTAAATCCACATGTTGCAAGATAAAAGGAGCAGGTAGAGGAATAATTATGTATTCATATAGTGCTCAGTATATGGGCACTTTACATAAGATAAGGTGAACATAGAGTCCTCTGGAGATTTTTAACATTTTATCTGTAGCTATCTGCTTAGGAACAAAAGGAAAGGCAGGCCAACGTGAGTGAATCACCTGAGGTTAGGAGTTCAAGACCAGACTGGCCAACAGGGTAAAACGCCATCTCAACTAAAAATACAAAAATTAGCTGGGAGTGCTGGTGCATACCTGTAGTCTCAGCTACTTGGGAGGCTGAGGCAGAAGAATCCCTTGAATCTGGGAGGCAGAGGTTGCAGTAAGCCAAAGAGTGCCATTGCGCCCCAGCCTGTGCAACAGGGCAAGACTCTGTCTCAAAAAAAATAAAAGAAGGGAAGGCAGTTTCTCACATGACTCAGCTTTCAGTTTAATTTTTTCCTTTTGTCATAGTGAACTGAGGTCCTGAGATTTTATTTTCCTTTTATAAACAACTTCAGCCACATGAGAGATTCTAATCCAGAGCCACCCAGCCAAATTGTTTTCAAATTCCTGTCCTACCTAAACTGTGAGATGTTCGTTAGTAACTAAGTCGAGAGATATGGCAGAAACGTGGAGTCCTTGGACATATTGGCTTCACTTCCAGCAAACTGCAGCATATCAGTGACCTCTGTAAAAATGGATGCAGAATTATGTGTATGTATGTGTGCATTTGCTTGGCAAGTATTCATAACTTTCACCAGTTTCTAAAAGGACTCCTTAATCTCTGAAAGGCTAAAAATCCTGCATTATGTGTTTTGTTCGGAGGAAACAGGGCAGTGAAGCCTGGAAAATTAGATAGAAAGGTTTCATTGAGGGAAGCAGAGCTTATATGTGAGTAAGTGTTGTGTATTTTTTGAAGCTGGGATTGAATTGGGCTTTAAAAAGTGAAAATAACTTAACTTGGGTATATGGGACAGTTCCCTTTCAAAGGATCCTTGATTGCTTTAGATCTGGGTTAGGCAAATTATAGCCACTAAGACAAATCCAGGAACTTACCCTGCTTTTATAATTTTAATGAAATACAGCCATGTCTGTTTGTATACATATTATCTGTGTCTGCATTTGCCGTGCTACATTAGAGTTGAGTAGTTGCGATATATGCCCTATAAACAGATAATAAACTATGTACTATCTGGCCCTTTACAAAAAAGTTTGCTAACCTTTACTTCTGAATATTGAGAATAGTTTGGTATTCTTGTTGCATAAAAGTAGTAGCTAAAATTCATCTTTTTAACTAATGAGTGAACGCACTACATGCCATGTAGCCAACTGTCCCCAGGTAAGTAATACATTAACATTTGCTTTCCAAACCCCATCGGAGTAACTGCTCCCTGGACTAAGGAAGTGGCTATCTGGACAGTCTCCTGGAGAAATGAGATTTGTAGAGCAGAGGCCAGGGGTTAATAATGCTGCCTCAGAGGTGAACACCCAGGGGCCTTGCACTGCTAACAGTTAAGTAGTAGAGGCTTGCGGTATTTGCTGTTATAAAGGAGCTCTTGCTTCCTCTGTATTTGTCTCGACTTGACATATTTCTTTTCTGCCCAAAGAATCTCATAAACCTGATCTATAAATGACACATATGTTATTTTGAAATAAGATGCTTGAGGGCTGGATTCTAGTCTATTTCCTTTCTAATTCTATTTTTGTGTAGTGTTGTGAACTCACTTGTCACTGAGAGTTACTGATTGATTCTTCCAGATAAAAGTGATATTCACTTTAGAATTGGGCTTAATTTGGAGACGTTAAGTCTGATTTCTTTCTCTTTTTCTTTTTCTTTTTTCTTTTTTTTTTTTTTGTAGTTAATCTCCTGGTAACAGCTGGTTTTTCTTTGTGCCTTTTTTATCTTTTTGGTAGTTAATCTTCTGGTAACAGCTGGTTTTACTTTGTACCTTAGGTTCTAATGTGCTAAATCTTTATCCTTTAATATCTCAGATGTTTCTCAACTTTAGAAAAAGTTTGCCAGGGTTTAGAAAAAGTAAAGAAAGGAAATGGCACATGGCAGACCATATCAATGTTTTACACACTCTTTCATGCATGCAGTATACAATATGTATGCTGACTGTGACAGCCCATGTGCTCTAGCTGAAGACTGATGTCCTAGAGAGACCTCATGTGATTACTGGCTGATGTCCTCAGCAGGAAGAGCAATAACCAAATTTATTCAACTGTCTTCAGAGTTAATCGTTTAAGAAATCTGTCTTCATTGCTGGTTGTGTCAGTTAAAGAATTTTTTTTTTCTCATGTCTTCTACTTCACCGAGAAGGTCAGTCTGTCAGTGTTTTGCTAATTTTCTGAAAGTTCTAACCAAGTTCATAATTTAATTAATTAACTTGTTATGAACTGTTTTGAATTTACAGAAAAGTTACAGAACAGTGTAATAAAAATCCATTTTCTTACTCCCATTTTTAATAAAACCTGATAAGAGATAGATAGAGTGTTAAAAGTAAAGCATTCACACAGTTGAAGCTTCCTCTAAGTTCATTCTCTTTTATCCTTCCTCAGAGGAAACATGGTATCCGAAACATGGTGTTTATCATTACCAAACAAAAAGAATTTGTGAAAACTTCTTAATTTTGCAACTAAGAAGACTATTGACCGTCATATATACTTTTACTAAATACAAGTACTTTTGTATTTTTACTAAGAATACATAT